TCTAAATGGTCCAAGAATTTCCGCCCCGACTATCCATTCAGAAGCGCTTGCGTCATTGCGTCATTGTGCGGGGCGGCCGCCCGCGGAAATTTGAAATGGCTGACGGGCGGCTGACGGGTGGCGCTCTGGAGGCAGAGGCGATGGCGCCAGAGCGCGCTGGCTGGGCGGCCGGAGAGGAGCCCCTAGAGAAAGGTGAGCACCCGCCGTGCCGGTCCTGAGGAGACGCCTCCTGGCGGAGGTCTGGGGCGTCCCGGGAGACCGGGAGGGCGCCTGAGTGACAGGCCTTCCGCACCCGCAGGCCAGAACGGCGGGGGTGACTGCTTGTGGCCCACTCTCGGCACGCCCAAGGCGGGAGGGGTCGGGGGTGGGAGGCATCTTTCCCTCCCCTTGCCGTCTGGGGCCTCAGCTTCCCCGGGACTGGAGGGAGCGTGCTGGGCCAGGAATTCCCGCTGCGGATGGGCTGCGGGAAACTCGGAGCATTTATCTGTTGAGCGAGGGCTCACCTATTCCATCTGCATCTCAAAGGACAGCATGAGCTACACTTACCTTTCCTGGAAGAGAACTCTTGGCCTAGTAAGCTTTTGACCTACCCAGAGTTAGGGGAGCCAGCTTGGAACAGAGGCCAGAAATAGAACCTGGTCTCCTAATTCTCAATCCTTTCTACTACTTCATGGAATTCCTATTATTACTATTTGACTTTTTTTTTTTTTTTTTGAGTCTCACTCTGTCACCCAGGCTGGAGTGCAGGGGCATGCTCACCACCACCGCAGTCTCAGCCTGCTGGGCTCAGGCCACCCTTCCGCCTCAGCCTTCCAAGCAGCTGGAGCTACAGGCCTGCGTCACCACTCCCGTGTAATTTTTTGATTAACTGTAGAGACAAGGTCTCGCCAAGTTGCACAGCGTGTTCTCGAACCCCGAGACTCAGGCATTCCTCTTGCCTCAGGTGTGAGCCACCATGCCGGGCATTATTCAACATTTTACAATGGTTCAGGCTTGGCTTGGTGGCTCAGCCTGTAATTCTAGCACCTTGGGAGGCCGAGACAAGTGGATTGCCTGAGCCCGTGGGTTCAAGACAAGCCCAGGCAACTTGGTGAGACCTCGTCTCTACAATAAATCAAAAAAATTAGTCAGTCGTGGTAGCGTGGGCCTGTAGTTCTGGCTACTTGGAAGGCTGAGGTGGAAGAATTGCCTGAGGCCAGCAGATTGAAGCTGGGGTGGCTGTGAGTGTGCCCCTGTACTCCAGCTTGGGAGACAGAGTGAGATTCCAACTCAAACAAAAGACGATTCATGTTTTTACTTTAACACTTTCAGTTGTACCATGTAGTAGAATAGTCCCGGAGAAGCAAGAAAGCATACATGTGACTTAACCCACCTTTCAAATTGGAAAAAGTTCCTTGACTTCAGCTTTCCTATCTAGAAGGCAGAGCCAATAGTTCTACTTGTGGTGAAGATGAAGTGAAACAATGTGTGAAGAGTAATGTTTTCAAAATGACTGTAAAGAAAGGCACATACTACATAGTAGTTATAAGTGGAATCTAAAAAAGCAGAACTTAGAGAAACAGTTGCATGGTGGTTGCCGTTGGTTGGGGAAAATAGCAGATGGTCAAATGTACAAAGTTTCAGTTATGTATTATGACTAAGTTCTGGGGACCTAATGTACAGTATAGTGACTGTAGTTAATAACATTGTATTGTTCACTTGAATTTTTTTTTTCCCGAATAGAAGTCTTAATCTGTCACTCAGGCTGGAGTGCAGTGGCACACACACTCATGGCCACTGTAGCCTTGACCTGCTAGGCTCAGGTGATCCTCCTGCCTCAGCCTTCCAAGTAGCTGGAACTACAGACATGTGCCACCATGCCCAGTTAATTTTTTGATTTATTGTAGAAATGGTCTTGCAACTTGCCCAGGCTGATCTCAAACCCCTGAACTCAGGCAATCCTCTTGCCTTAGCCTCCCAAAGTGCTGAGACTGCAGGCTTAAGGCACTGCTCTTGGCCTGAGTGTTCTTAACATACACAAAAAAGTAACTCTGGGAGATGATGGAAATGTTAATTTGCTTTATTTTGGTAATCTTTTCATAATGTGTAGGTATATCAAAACATCATGTTATACACTTTATTTTTTTTTGAGTTGGAGTCTCACTCTGTCAACCAGACGAGTGCAGTGGCATGATCATGGACACTGCAGGCAATTCTTCCACCTCAGCCTTTTAATTAGCTGGAACTACAGGTGTGTGCTACCATGCCCAGCTAATTTTTTTTTTTTTTTTTTATTGCAGAGGTACAATTTCTTTTTTTTTTTTTTTTTTTTTTTTTGAGTTGGAGTCTCACTCTGTCACCCAGACTGGAGTGCAGTGGCCACTCGCGGCCATCGCAGCCTCGACCTGCTGGGCAACAAAGTTGCCCAGGCTGGTCTTGAACCCCTGGGCTGAGGCAATCCTCACTTTGGCCTCCCGAAGTTCTGGGATTACAGGCTTGAGCCACTGTGCCCGGCCTATTTTTTATTTGTTTATTGTAGAGACGAGGTCTTGCCAAGTTTCCTAGGCTGGTCTCAGTCCTCTTGCCTCTGCCTTCAAGCATGCTGGGATTACAGTCGTGAGCCACCGCACCCAGCTATTTTATTTTTATTTTTTTATTTTTTTGAGTTGGAGTTTCACTCTGTCACCCAGACTGGAGTGCAGTGGCCGCTCCCGGCCACCGCAGCCTCGACCTGCTGGGCGCCAGCGATCCCTCCGCTTCAGCCTTCCAAGTAGCTGGAACTACAGGCACGCGCTACCACACCCAGCTAATTTTTTATTTTATTGTAGAGATGAGGTCTCACCAAGTTGCCCAGGCGGGTCTCGAACCCGTGGGCTCAGGCAATCCACTCACCTCAGCCTCCCAAAGTGCTGGGATTACAGGCTGAGCCACCGAGCCCGGCTATTTTTTATTTTTTTAAGTCAGAGTCTCACTGTGTGGCCCAGGCTGGAGTGCAGTGGCATGTTCACAGCAACACAGCCTCAACCTTCTGGGCTTAGGCAATCCTTTTGCCTTAGTCTTCCAAGTAGCTGAAACCACAGGCATGCACCACCATGCCCGGCTGATTTTTTTTGACTTATTGTATTTTTAATTTAATTTAGTTTATTTATTTTTAATTAAAAAAAATTTTTTTTTTTGAGTTGGAGTCTCACTCTATCACCCAGGCTGGAGTGCAGTGGCACACTCACAGCCACTGCAGCCTCGACATACTGGGCTCAGGCGATCCTTCCACCTCAGCCTTCCAAGTAGGTGGAGTTACAGGCACATACCACCACGCCTGGCTAATTTTTTTTATTTATTGTAGAGATGTGGTCTCAATAAGTTGCCCAGACTGGTCTTGAACTCTTGGACTCAGACAGTTCTCTCACCTCGGCCTCCCAAATTGCTGGGATTATAGGCATGAGCCACTGCGCCTGCCCTATATTTATTGTAGAGACAAGGTCTCACCATGTTGTTCAGACTGGTCTCCAGCCTTGAGCTCAGACAGTCCTCTTGCCTCTGCCTCCCAAAGTGCTGGGATTGCAGGTGTGAGCCACAGAGCCTGGCCTTGTCCACTTTATTTATGTTTTATTTATTTATTTAATTAAATTAATTTATTTATTTTTGAGTTGGGAGTCTCACTCTGTCGCCCAGACTGGAGTACAGTGGCCACTCCCGGCCACTGCAGCTGCGACCAGCTGGGCTCTGGCAATCCTTCCTCCTCAGCCTTCCAAGTAGCTGGAACTACAGGCATGCGCTACCATGCCTGGCTGATTTTTGATTTATTGTAGAGATGAGGTCTTGCCAAGTTGCCCAGGCAGGTCTCGAACCCGCGGGCTCAGGCAATTCACTCACCTCGGCCTCCCAAGGCACAGGATTGCAGGCTGAGCCACTGAACCTGGCCACCTTGTCCACCTTAAATATATATACTTTTATTTCTTGTACCTCAATAAAACTGGAAAAATGAAACAAAGTAGCTGTAAAGAATGGAGCTGAAGTGTATAAGGTATTATTCTTTGACAGACATGCTATGAAACTGGGAGTATTGTAAATGATTAACAAATAATTTATTTCATGCTCTCAATTTAATTGAAATAGGCATGCTATTTTTATCTTCTCTTTTATAGACAAGGAAACTGAGGCACAGAGAGATGGTCATACAGCCAGTAAGGCACTGATGTCCTCTATGGCTCGTGTGCCGCAGTGTTTGTGAGTAGTAGACCCTTGAGTATACTTCGATCATTTGTGGGGTCAAGTAATGTTGGTGGCCTGAATGAACAGGAGCAAAGAAATGGAAGGAAGGAGAACAGAGGAGACAATCAAGGGACCTGGGGGAAGACAGATTGCTGCTAAAAACAGTCTCAGATACCTTCTCTGAAACCACGCTGAAATCTCCTGTGCTAATCTAAATGCTATCCTTAGCATTGTTTATTTAGTGATTGTGTTGTTTATTAAAAAATCCTATTACACAGAATTAGATAGGCCACTTGCTGAATCATGCCTTATGAAATGTTATTTGCATTTTCTTTTTTTTTTTGAGTTGGAGTCTCACTCTGTCACCCAGACTGGAGTGCAGTGGCCGCTCCCGGCCACTGCAGCCTTGACCTGCTGGGCTCCGGTGATCCTTCCGCCTCAGCCTTCCAAGTAGCCGGAACTACAGATGCACGCTAGCACACCTGGCTAATTTTTTTTTTTTTTTTATTGTAGAGATGAGGTCTCACCTGCCCAGGCGGGTCTCGAACCCGCGGGCTCAGTCAATCCACTCACCTCAGCCTCCCAAAGGCGCAGGATTATAGGCTGAGCCACCGAGTCTGGCTTGCATTTTCTTTCTTCCTTTTTTGGAGTCAGGATCTCTGTCACCCAGGCTGAGTGCAGTGGCATGATCATGCTTAAACTCCTGGGCTCAGGAGATCCTCCTGACTCAGCCTACTGAGTAGCTAGGACTACAGGCATGCACCACCACGCCTGGCTAATTTATAAAATTTTTCTGTAGAGACAGGGTCTTGCTATGTTGCCTAAGATGGTCTTGAAATCCTGGGCTCAAGCAATCCTCCCGTCTCAGCCTCCCTAGATGTTGGGATTACTGGTGTGAGCCATTGTGCCTGGCTGATTTGTGTTTTCTAATCTTTTTTTTAGACACAGTCATTGAAATTAATTAGGAACTTAGCAGTTTTAGTGAAGTAAACCTTATGCATTATTAAGAATCTCTCATCCCTGTTTATTGAGGGACCATTAACAGATTAATATTGCAGAAAATAAAGGAAGGCTTCAACTCTTGGAGAGTATAGGAAAATCAGCTCTCTTTTCTTTTCTTTTTTTTTTTTAAATTGGAGTCTCACTCTGTTACACAGGCTGGAGTGCAGTGGCATACTTATGGCCATCGCAGCCTCAAACTTGCTGGGCTCAGGTGATCCTTCCACTTCAGCCTTCCCTTTAGTTCTGTTATTCAGTGTCAGTGGGAGTGGCTTTCCCTTCTGATGTTTGCTCAGCCCTCTATTCCCTGGTCTGGGCGCTGGATTTGTTCTATTTTGAAATAGGACTGTGGGTGAGAAACTTTGCTGTCTCTTGTAGTTTTTGAAAGTAGAATAAGGTAGGGGATGGGGTGCTAGGATTCAGAACCTACTTGCAAATTACAATGGTCACTGATTGTGGTATGTGTTCCCTGAAACCCACTCCCCACCACCCCTCTATATGACGATGTAAAGCAGGAACCAATGCAAAAAACAGTTGAACACACGCACACAGCCCAAAACAAATGAATAACAACAAAGTGAAACGAAACACACAACAACAACAAAAAAACCAAGAAAACTGAACACACACACACCTAGCACAAAGTGAATGGAGAAGAAAAACAGAGCAGAAAGAAAATTAAAAAAAAAAAAAAGAATTCAGATTGGACCCTGACACATATATTGACACACACCTTAAACTATAAAAAGTAAAAATAAGCCGGACTCGGTGGCTCAGCATGTAATCCCGTGCCTTTGGGAGGCTGAGGTGAGTGGATTGCCTGAGCCCGCGGGTTTTGAGACCCGCCTGGGCAGGTGAGACCTCATCTCTACAATAAATCAAAAAATCAGCCAGGCGTGGTAGCGCATGCCTGTAATTCCGGCTACTTGGAAGGCTGAGGCGGAAGGATTGCCGGAGCCCAGCAGGCGAGGCTGCGGTGGCCGGGAGCAGCCACTGCACTCCAGTCTGGGTGACAAAGTGAGACTCCAACTCAAAAAAAAAAAGTAAAAATAAAAAAATCCAGAACAAAGGAGCAAAAACAAACCAACAACAACAAAATTGAAAGATGAACACTCAATCATTCACATACACACATAAACAGAAAGCAACAAACGAAGAAGCAGAAAAAGAAAAGGAAAAAAGAAAAAAACTTTGGGGGGATGCAGCTCAAACTCTCACATGCACATTCACACATAAAGGAAAAATATTTTTAAAATAGACGAACTAACAGGCAAGAAATTCTAAAAAATTAAAAGAACCTGAAAAACCTGCCCTCTTGTGGCAGGCTCTGTAAGTATTCCTCTAATCTGTTCTGCAGAGCTTCCACCTCTTTCACTCTGCCCAGTGTCCAGAGCAGGGAAGGAGAGGGGCAGTGGAGGTGAGTGGGGCTGCAGTCCTCCTCTCCTACTCTCATATGGTCTGGGGGATCTCTGGTGGGGAGCTGCAGGATTGTCTCTTCCCTAGGTATATACCTGCGAGGGCCAGGCCTATTCTGCAATGGAGTTCTCCTATTGCAACTGATGTCCACACTCCGCCTGGGTTTGTCCCTCAGTTGTGGCACAGCAGTGTAGGTCTGACGTTCATAGGATTACTGGAGAAGAGGGGGGTTTGGGTCAACCCTGGACTCACCATTGATCTCTTTGGAGTTCTTCCTCCTCCTTTTGTGGCCACATCCTTCGTCCCAGCTGGATCACGGTAGGGGGTGGGGCGCCTGGGACTCAGGACTTCTCAGGTCCCTCCATGCTTTCAGGATATTCCCTCCGGGTCATGATCAACCCCTGAGTAGTTAATCCACCAATCACAGGGATCTGCGACTCTGGTGAGCAAGTCAGAGCACTTTCCCAGCCTGCCTTCAAGATGGTCATGAGGTGCCTCTCTTGTCCTCTTTGGTGAGACTCTGTCTCTGGGCTCCCTCTACAGCCCCTGCTGCCAGTGCCCGGCCAGGTGCTGAAGGGGTGAGGCAAAGCCAGGAGCCCGCAGTCTCTCCTGCTGCAGTGGTGAGACAGAGCCTGGGGCGGTAGTCTCTCCCCAATGCTTCTTCACAGGGAAACTTTTACCTGTTTAAAAAAAATGGTTCTCTGCTTCTGTGACCTGGGAAGAGCCAGGGACCAAGCAGAGAAGCTGCAGCACCAGCTGTTGCACCAGTGCCCTGACCACTTGGCTCTCGAGGCCCCCACTTAGTCAGTCTCTCCCAGCATTTTCTTCCCAGGAAGGGTTTTGTTGATTAAAAAAAAAAAAATGGCACTTGGCTTCTGCGTCCCCAGAATCACGAGGGTTCAAGCCTAGCAGCCATGGCACCAGCCACTGCACCAGGAGAGCCCTGGCGGCTAGCTCCCTAACCCTCACTCAGTCAGCCACTCACATGCCCACTTACCGGCTGGTACACAAAATTTTCCATACACTCACTCACTCACACCGAGACTCGCATAGTCTGACTGGCTCGGCTGCATCTTCCCCACCCTGGCCTCAGCCTTCCAAGTAGCTGGAACTATAGGCACACACCACCACATCCGGCTAATTTTTTGATTTACTGTAGAGATGAGGTCTCGCCAAGTTGCTCAGGCTAGTCTCGAACCTGTGGGCCCAGGCCGTCCTTTCACCTCAGCCTCCCAAAGCTCTGGAATTATAGGTATGTGCCAACGCATCTGGCCAGCTCTCTCTTTTAACGTAGACTTATGGAATTGTTTTGGGAAAAAAAAAAGATACTTGAACATTATAACTTGCTAACTATAGTAAAAGTCATGAGAACTTGAGGTGTTTCCACTGAATTTAAAAAAACAACCTTTTGCTTTTGCTTTACCCAATGCCTCACAGAGCAACAACAAAAAACCTAACTTGTGAAAGATCTTAAGCTCATATTGTTTTGAAGGAGAACTTTGATTTTGAGGTATTTTAGGTTTGGAAAACTAATTTCTTCTGACAATAATAGAGATAAGTGGAACATTCATACTCATTTTTGTTTATAAATTTTTTTGGAATTTCTAAGCAAGGATGTAAAAATAGATGCACTGTATAAGTACTGGAAGTATCTGGGATAGTTGAGTCCTTTTTTTTTTGTTTTTTTAGGTTTGTTCCAAGATGAAGATTCATGCAGTGATTGTAGCTATCATGAAAAGCCAGGTTCTAGTTTACAAAGTTTTGTACCAGAAGGAAAAAGTCTTTTCCCAGAAGTTTTCCAGACAAATCAACTTTTGTTCTATGAGCGATTCAGAGCCTATCAAGATTACATTTTAGGTGAGTAGGTTCTCTTTGCTTTTTTTTTTTTTTCTTATATCTTTTCAGTTTACAAGCAGAGTTTTTTTGTTTTGTTTTGTTTTGTTTTGAAGTCAGAGTGGCATGCTGAAGGCCACTGCAGCCTTGGTCTTCCGCCTCAGTCTTCCAAGTAATGAACCATAGGCATGTGCCATCATGCTTGGCTAATTTTTTTATTTATTGTAGAGACAAAGTCTCACAAAGTTGCCCAGGCTGGTCTCGAACCTCTGTACTCAGACAATCCTCTCTCCTCTGCCTCCCAAAGTGCTGGGATTCCAGGCCTGAGCCACTGCGCCCAGCTGATTGTTTATCCCAGGCTCTCAGATTATCAATTGTTGGTTCTGGGATAGTAGATTTAAATGGACTTTTTAACTTCTTTCTATGCATTCTCAATTCTTATTGTGTTTAATTTGTTTGTAGCTGACTGCAAGGCCTCTGAGGTAAGGGAATTCACAGCTGAATTCTTGGAGAAGGCCCTTGAACCATCTGGATGGCGGGCAGTCTGGCACACTAATGTGTTCAAGGTGCTGATTGAGGTACATTTAATTCTGTTGTTAAGACATTTGTCTCCAGCTTTAAGCACTTTACTTCACACTGTTATAGCCAAAGTGATTTTTTTTTTTTGAGTCAAAGTCTCACTTTGTTGCTGGAGTGCAGTCACTGCTGGAGTGCAGTGGCATGCTCACGGCCACCGCAGCCTTGACCTGCTGGGCTCAGGCTGTCCTTCCTCCTCAGCCTTCCCGGTAGCTGGAACTACAGGTGTGCACCATGAAGCCTGGCTAATTTTTCTTCATTTATTGTAGGGATGAGGTCTCCTCAAGTTGTCCAGGTTGGTCTTGAACCCAGGGATTCAGGCAATCCTCTCACCTTGGCTTCCCAAAGTACTGGGATTATAGGCATGAGCCATCGTTCCTGGCCTGAAGTGCTTATTTTTAATTAAAGTTTATGAGCTGATTGAGATAGCGTGTTTTTCACATCTAATTGCCATGGTATAGGAAGTGTTCTGCAATTTTTTTTTTTAAGTTGGAGTCTCACTCTGTTACCTGGGCTGGAGTGCAGTGACATGCTCACGGCCATAGCAGCCTTGACCTACTGGACTCAGGGGATCCTTTTGCCTCAGACTTCTAAGTAGCTGGATATACGGGTGCATGCTGCCATGCTCAGCTTTTTTTTTTTTTTTTGAGTTGGAGTCTTACTCTGTCGCC